TATCTACACACATAAAAGAATACGTCCGTGAATACTGAAACAGATGTCAGAAAGAAGAAAAAAAACCTTCTTAATCTACGTTTTTTACCTGGTGTAGTATGATTAATCTATAACAAACTACATTGACAAAAAATGATTGGCTGCTAGCTGTAAGAACCGTCTCAAATATATCAGAAAGGAAAGAAACACGGCAGCTGACAGAGTTCTGTATGCTGATGGGCATTTTTTTTTCATAATGATTATTTTCAATTCATGTATATACCATCACTTTAACGGGATCATATTAAAGATTGTGTCAAGTTGGTTAGTTTTGCAAAGCTTTTGAAAGAAACATAACATTCGAGTAAATTATCAACATAAAAAGTATGTATGATATTCATTATATATATATATAGGACGTTTTATTTTAGAAATAACAGATATATTTACGATTGAATTGCATATTTATTGTGTCGTTGCGAGAAAAAAATAAAAGAAAAAAAAAAATTTTTTTTTCGACTCTATTGATGCTAAGCAGTACACTGTAGCGCACTATACGACAAGAAAATAAGAAGAAAGTGATTGAGATACAAAAGTTTTTCAAAATATGATAGAGCCTTCAGAAATATGCATAGAAAACTTTCATGTGCAATATTTGAGTATAGATGTGATTTATCATTTGATAGAGTTCAGCAACGTTCTCAGAATGATGTACAAAGTATTTCTGGAACTGTATGTCGCGCAACTTCAAGTAAAAACCCTTATATGAGAACGAATTGTGAAAGTTTACAAAAGATAAGCATATAGAATGCAATATGTGATGTTTTTCGCTAATTTTTTAACTAAACAAATACATTCTATAAACAGTACATAGTGACTTGATAGCTCCTGAAACGGCGAATAGATTGATATACAATACGTTGCATTTATCTTCAGTTTTTAGCATAGTTATTGATCAATTAATATCGCGTAACATTTTACAACTAGTTTTCATTTTCTCAGTAACTAAATGTTTTCGAACGCTGATATTTTCAACAGTAGTTGACCACGGTGAGTGCATAAAATGATCAAAATTTTCATTTTAAACTGTCATACATTTAGACAGTTATGTATCAAATAAAATGGAAACCCTCGAGTGACGTTAAATATGACAATCGAATTTTCAAGTTTGATTTTAGAGATTTTCATGGTCAAAAACAATACAATTTTCTCATCTTTTTCGACGGCTTTAGCTCTTATTTATTGGCTTTCATTTAATACTATTGTGTCCATTTTTACACAACTTGTTCAATCTAAAAGCAATTCTTTTTAATCTCATATGACACAAAATCGAAAAATGATTATACATCCCATTTCAAAATGACACGCTACCGACACATGTGTCGACACAAAGTGACCCAAAAATTATTCACGTCTTAGAATAACGAAATATTTCGTTTACAATGTTTAAAAAATTTTGACACATAATGACACGTGAGTGTAACATGTGTCACACAGCAGGGCACGCTGGCGTACATGTGTCAAAGCGTGACAGTACTTCCTGTGTCATTTTGGTTTTTTAAACGTTTTGACACATGCAGTATTGTCACTCTTTGACACATGTACGCCAGCGTGCCATGCTGTGTGACACATGTTACACCCACGTGTCATTATGTGTCAAAATTTTTCAAACATTGTAAACGAAATATTTCGTTATTCTAAGACGTGAGTAATTTTTGTGTCATTTTGTGTCAACACATGTGTCGGTAGCGTGTCATATCGAAATGGGATCTGACGTTCAAGAAAACCTACAAGGAAAATTGGGATAAAAGCGTTTCTCAGTCTTAAAGTCTAGGATTATAGACTATTAACTACAAAATTCACTGACTTTCGAAGTTCAAAGAACAAGAGAACAGATCGGTATACGCCATTTTCTTAAATAGATAACATTAAATGTTAATCTTTTCAACCTTGCTTATCTAATATTTCGAGGTTAATTTGAGAATAAATTCCTGATTTTATGTATGTTAGTAAAAACTTTGTCGAAGAGTCCAATCTAAAATAATCATAAGGACTAATTGAGAGAAACTCAAGACATTTAACTGTTACAAATAAGAATATAACGATACAATGAATATGCAATTCACTCACATATGGATTTTATCACTCAGCAAGATACCGCACACACACTATCTTTTCTCTCGATTAATTTTGACATATACTGCTGAGTTCTGTTTAAAATTAGAATTCAATTAGTTCATATTGCTTGTATTCTCGTCGTAGCCACACTCTGCTAGATCAAAAATACGACCATCCTGTTGATTGACACCTAGAATAAGATCCTTTCACACCCTGAAAACCCAACAATCGCAATAGTCAGACTAAACAGTTATAGTCAGCAGAGTTTCAAAAGGGTATGGGTGCGCAGTGTACATGGTAACGTGAATACTAGATTCTCTCATCCACACCCGCATATACATTCAACATATAGATGAGAGAAGTGTGTCGATTTTTCTTTTATTATTACATTATTTTTCCTGCTGAATTTTATCCAGGATTGTAAAGGTTTGTTTTTTTTTCAATTCTGGGACGTGGAGATAGTAGACTAGACCAAAGAAACTGCGAAACAGTCTTTTTGAACTATTACTGATGTATTCATAATTTTCTCAGAGTAGTTATTATCTTTAGGATGGCAACATGATTTTCGTTTAAGAACTGTAGCAGAATATAAATGCAAAGAAAGAAAAGATGCACAATACTCTTCATTTTTCGACGCTATTTTAGAGAAAGTATTGGATTATGTGTTTGAATAGCAATATCCGAAATGCTCGATTTCATATTTGAATCTATGCAACACCGTGTGTGTGTACTTCGGTTTCTATCCAAAATGAGTGAAATGAGAAGAAGGCAAAAAAATACTTCCGTACAAACTTCTAGATAAATCAACATGACGACTTATGAACCACAATTTTGTTAGCGTCTCTTGAACCTGCCGCTGAAGCTAGTAATAAAGAATATGAAAAATTTTTATCACTTTGGTATAGACTAATCGCGTCCTGGGAAAACAGCTTTTTTTGCTACTTCAAATAATTCGTCAAAAAAAAAACAATATTTCACAGGCGTATACAGAATTTTAGTGAAAAAGCATCAAAATTCTCCTTCGTATGTAACCATCGTCGGGAGCTATATAACAGTTTATATTGTATAAGTTGAATGATTGAAACTATTGTTTGACTTGCAAATACTCGATTACTTGTCTGCCCTTAAGCAAACACAAGTGGAAAAAAAACATCAGTTCGATACTTGAAAGAAATTTGAGAGTACAAGCGCCTATTATCGGCAGAAATCTCGTGCCAGAAAATTTGATACATACAATAATGGCAAGAAGACATGGATAGATCAGGCTAAAATAACTAAAATAAGTGTTTTCTATAAGCCCACTTTATCATTGAAGAAGTGGCAAATGCAAAACTAATCCTTGTGTCGAAAACCAAAGTTCATAATTAACTAGTTCATGATGGAAATGATTTATACAATAATCTAAAACTTTTATATATAATAGAAGAGAACTATTTAAAGAAACTACAACAGATAACCAGAGACCATCAAAGATATGACACACAATCAATATCTGCTCTTTTTTATACACTAGCAATAAATATAAGAAAAACCATGAAGAAAAATATAATCACATCCATGTTTGCCTTGAAATTGACCCATTTTGAAAGATAATTTTCTTGTATTTTTCTTGCATTAGATTAAACAAAATTATGAGTATGAAATGTTCGAACAACTCTGATAGCAACAGGTTACCTGTCATAAATATTCAACAAATAGTAGATTCAAATATTTCTCTCTATTCTATTACCTATCACTTTTATCAACTGACGATGGAGCAATTTGCTACTTTAAGTGCTTTTTTTTGTAAAAAAGTACAAGATACTGAAGGTTATCGTAAAAAAGCAGTTAAGTCAAAGTTTAATCATTACTGCAAAGACTTTTATGGAGTGATGTGAAAAAAGAAATAATCTGCTTATCTCAACAACACAAGAAAAAATCTATTCATATTCTTTTTTCAACTTTCTCCCGCTTTTTATTTGCCTTTCATGTTTCTTTTTCATTCTCTCTCCACATTATTCTCTCTCACTATATTTCAAAAGGCTTCGCAAAGATGAGAGACAGAGCGTTTAGTATAACTACTAGTACGAAGACCATGGAACATTTTCCCATTGACCTATCAATCCAGTGTTACAAAGTTTCCTGTGAGCGAGCCATTAACACGATCATCCTGCCGTAACTATAGGTCGCGAAAGAAATATAAATTCTTTCAAGTCTAATATATATCAAATGAAAGTCAAATCGTACTACATGACAATTCAAAATATTAGACCATTTTTTGTTATCCACGGCGAGCACAAGCTAATTATGCAAAGAAAACAAATCTCTAGGTCACAACCATACCCTTGAGGACCTTGAGCCAAATTAAAAAACAAATCGAGGTTTTTGTATCATCTAAAATATTTTTGAGTCGTTGGAGTTAAAAAAAATAGTAAAAAGTGATGTTCTAAAGTCGTAAATCTCTACACAATGACGTAGTAGCAGTATTTATTCTGATAATTTATCGTAGCTTTTCAACCATTTTCTTAACACTGTAATTTTCTGCAATTTTATAAACTATTTAGATACAATTTGAACAAGGTTAACGTTAGTCACGCGCTGCTCAAGTCGACAACATTTGCAAGATTACTAGTGGTATATTTACTCATGATTTCTGGTCTCTTCTTGTAGTTCTATACAACTGGGATATTTGATCAAGAGACCGTGCTTTTGAGGCTTGAGCAAACTCTATCATTCTGAAAATTTTATTAAACAAATATTTCTGAAATCTTGGGCAATCGATCATTTGGTACGTCTCAGATACACCACTACCATCTCAGTTAATCTAGAACATCTAAGAAATGAGAACACCTATTAACATATTATGTTTACATTTAATAATAATTATTGTATTCTCTCTCTTATTCTCTTATACATATTTATTAATGTTCAATGCGACGACCAGTCAACAATCGTGCAATATTATCAATGACAACAAGAATAGCTTTAGTAAATTATTGTTTTATCCTGGTATTGCAGTTATTGTGGATAATCGTGCAGATTTAAGCATACCATCACGAGTACTTAACGTTCTCATACACATTCCAAATACATGGCCAATACAAATTATTCATGGTACATCAAATTATCAATATTTAACTGAATGTGAAGATTTAAAACCATATATTGAAAATGGACGAATAATTTTAACAAAATTATTTAATGAACAATTATTTACATCACCAAATAGACTTTTTACAAATATCAAGTTTTATGAACAAATTATAGGCGAAAAAATTCTTTTTTTTCAACTAGATTCATTATTTTGTTCAAATTCACCCCATAAATTAACAGATTATCTCCAATATGATTATATAGGTAAGAAAGACTTGAATTGTAAAGATCCCAACTAGTTCGTGACATTGTTGGCGTTTGATGTTGAAAAGTTAGACGCGCAGGTTTCCAGATTGTAGGTGACCAGTCTTTTAACTTTCCAATAAAAATAAAGCTTTTCATTAGTATCTCTTCAGTTCATAAATAGAGTCATTGTCCTTAAATGAAAAAAATGTTTTATCGTCAACTACAGTCATTCTTTTTAGTCAAAGAAAACGAGACATATTCAATAAATTCAAACTTTGGCATTAAACGAAACCACACAGAAGCATCTAGTGTTGCAAATAGAGAATAAGGATAACAAGGTCTCATGTGAAGTTTCTCAAAATTACACGCATTTCATTGTTTTAGCTTGAGGTCCTCTTTGACGTTCTTCCATTCAAATACTAGACTATACACACTGGCGTTCTTGACAACCGCGTTTTGCTACTTGGCTGAACTCGAATTCGTGTGTTATCTCAAGTTTTCAAACACGCTGAATTTTGTAGCAGTATTTTTGTTTGTTTCTTCAAATGGATTCAAGATCGGCAGGCAAAGATTAGCAAAATAGATAATTTTTAGTTCCATCTGCATTCTAATGAGATGAGCACATCTGAGACCTTTTTAGCCGATTAAATTTCAAACTTTCAGGGTAGATTTGATAGGCATTTCTGTCTTTCACTGTAGTGACGGAAACGAGATGTTGTATATTCGAAGCTTGCACAGAGATAAATGAGGTTTTTTTGTCTTCAGTAACATTTGCTGTTCTGTTTCACATTTTTTTTGTTCGAGAAACTTGATATTTACTTGCCGTTTACGAGCTAACTTTTCATCGATTCACGCCTATTCTCTAACATCTTTTCAGATCAGTATGTTCCTTTAAGACAATCTAGATAAATTTTTTAAGCCATAGACTTGTCTGAAATCGCTTTGGAGTCAAACCCTTTTAGAGAGACAAGGAACATTTTATCTTGATAGATGTTTTAACACGTCGTATTCAATTACGTTGAAATACTACTATGAAGCAATATAATACTTTTAAACGTGTGCAAAAAAAAGCGTTTACAAAGTCGCTCTCAGTTATGTCTTAAGAGAATTATTTGCATAGGCACGTTGTAATAGGATTCCGAAGTTTTTGGGAAAAGACGCATGTTTCTCCAACTGTAGACAACTTACATAGGTGGATGACTTCGTTTTGTTCGTTCTATTCCATGTTAATCATAATTTATTGGCTTTTGCTTATGTATATCATTATATTAAGGTGCACCATGGCGTATGACTTCAGAACGTGGTGTGGTCGGTAATAGTGGCTTTAGTTTGCGTACACGATCAAAAACAATTGAGCTCTTAACAAAACATCCATATAATTTTTATAAAAATGAAGACGAATGGTTTGGTTTACATTTTCATTTAGTTAATGCTAATATAGCGTCTGCACAAGTAGCTGCAACATTTTCAGTTGAAACACAATATTATCCAAAACCACTGGGAGTTCATATGCCTGGAAATTATCTGAATATGACAGATTATATGAATTTGTGTAAACAATGTCCAGAAGTTCGAATGATTTGGCCTTATTGTCAAAATAAAGCCTCACTAGCTAAGTGAAAAACTGATAATTATTAATTATTTGTACTGATAAACAACATGTGTTTTCAGAGAGAGATATAAAATCCTCTTAACTAAGCACACGTTTGGTATTTTTCCAAGTTCACTGTTTATCTTTTTGGCAGATTTTAATCGCTTTATCGTTCAATTGGAAATAAAACTTTAGAAACTTCGTGAGCTTCTTTAATCTATACTAAGTGAAGTGCATGCAGGAACGTAGCCAGAGGGAAGGATGTATCAACGATTCCATAACATCTTGTTACCTCTAATTTGGCTACATTTCTGCATGTAATACTATAATATATTGCAACTCAATAGAGCACAACGATATGACTTCTTACATGTTAAATTTCCTTTTTTTCATAATAATACTAACTTCAACTCTTAAGAAAATAAACAATGGTGACAAATATGATATATGAAATATTTTTAACAGCTAAGAAACTTTAAATAGAAAAATACCCGAAAACCTAAAGTTTTTTAGAAAACATATACTGGAACGATGTCTAATCATGATTGAATAGTGTTGATCAACTAGACGGAAAATCAGTACAGTTCATGACATGAACAAGAAGCGAACTACTGAAGGGATCGAATAACTGTCTAAAATAATTAGTCAATATCTAGTGTATAGTTAACATATTTTCATCTTATATTAGTTTGAGCTTTAGTTTTACCACAAAAACTAAAACATATTGTGCTAAGCTAATGATAGATTACTTGAATTGATCAATCTCATTATATAGAGAAAGCGATCTGGTTCAATCATTCAGCTTGGATATCACCGACGTACATATTGCACTTGATTCGAATTTCAATATCTGATTTGAGGATGTGGATGTGCATGTTGACAGAAATGTTCACCCACACCCACACCCTAAATTTTGTATGTAAACGAACATCATGGAACATGCTATTATAAGTAACTCAATGCAGTTTCGTGGAAAATTGAAGAAAGAGTCTTTTGAAAAATAAAAGGTTCGATTGCGGTAACTCAAGCTGATATATCTCATAAACTATCAAGATTGCTATTTATCATAAATCACTCACTGTCTTTCTTTCAATATGATGTTTCTTAGATGTGATAGGGCAGTAATACGCCGGCGGTCGTCCTCACCCATTCCGGTAACACCAATATCCATTTGGGCACTCCTGAAGCTACAGGCAAGCTTGCTTGGGTTCAGAATACGTATGCATTAGCCTATAATCATGCAATTAACTGTTAAAAAACTTTGGAAATAACGAAATCAAAGAGAAAAATGCGTGGTGGTCATTTATTGCTTTATCGTTGGTTTGTATTGGCTGTTTTGATCGTTTCATACATATTTGCTGTCTTGGGTAGAAATGTAAAATATTATGTTACATTCCCGATTGTTGCTGCCTTTATCTATCTTGCTCTAACCATTTTGGAATTGGCATGCCTTTCAGTTGAAGTGCCTGATGACATACTTCCTGGATTTGTAAATGAATTCTACACCATATCTCTTATTGTCCAAAGCACTGATCAACGAGTATTGGCTGTGTCAAACTATATATCAACTGTATGTGCTCATTTGATTGAACAACATCGAGATGAAGTGTCAATGGGTATCATGATTTATAGAAACATTTATCAGCGACAAATTAGGTTTCCTTGGGAAAGTCTTGTTCATTTTATCGTTTTTATCCTCGCATTGATGATAGTAAGAAAAGAACAATGAACACTGATTTTTATCGGTTACATAGAAATAGCAGATTCTTTATTAATAAAGACTTATTATTCCCTTCATTCAATAACCTAAAAAATTAATATTATTCAACGTTTACTGTCAGAAAAAAAAATCTAATGAATAAATTATAATTTCTTCCACATTCTTGATCAAATCTATCCAAACGCAATTATTTAGAAAGCTTTCTACGCTCATACTAGTTTTTTGAAAGTTCACCTTTTGCTCGAATCAACAATAAATACTAATGTTTAGAATGGAAAAGTGTCTGAAAGCAGTACTAGGAAAGGGTATGAATATGGATGTGTATCTCAGATGCCAAGATGCAAATGTCATGTGGCTAAACAAACAATGGTCAATTAGCTTTGACTATTTCGAATTTGTTCGAAATCATTCAAAAGAAAATGATATATGATTATAAAATAAGTGAATCACAGCATCACAAAATCTTTCCAAATGAGCTACACATTAAGATAAAATGTGTCACATGGGTCGCACTTTATGATACAATGTACGACACATTAAAGTGTGACATGCGGTGCTTTCTATCATACAATTCTTCCAGCGAACATGCGACACATTTTGAAAACATAGTTTGACTCTTTAGTTCATCACGTGCTAATCAGTTTTTCTGAATATTAGGAAAACCGCATTTTTTTCCACGTTAATTCATATTAGTAACACCTATTCTTTGAGTTCAAGAAGACGGTAAGATCCTAGGTTCTATCCGGGGTCTCCAGTTCAGTGTGAGTAGGGGGTATGAATGGTTGTGGATGTGTAAAGACTACAAATACATCTACATCCGTCTCATTTTAATTGGTTTTCTTTGTTGAAATTAGAAATGAAGAATTGCAACGAAAATCGTTCATAAATGTACGACTTTTGTCTCTTGGTTATCTTATATTTGGATGATTTCATTCTCTCTGAATGACGAGGGCTGGCTAGTATTATTTATTTGGTTTTAGGATGAAAACATCAGACAAAAAATGGATTATTTATTCTACTCAACAGGGCTTAGGGTACGGGTGGTGCGAGTTTGAACTACCTACACCTTAGCCACACTCACATTCACATTCATTCAAATCCTTTTCAGGTTATTCATAGCTAATTAGAGTCTGTATGATAACATAATCCTGACCTTAAGTTAATTAATCAACTGGAGCCAACTTAACTGCTTATATTTTCGTGATTGTTTTTCGTACTTATTTTACATGTTTTCACTAATCTAAAATCTAAATCAAACTAGAAAAAAATTATGTTCTATTTCGTTTTGTCCAACTATTTCATGTGTAGATTCACATGTATTATTCTCAATTTTTATACTACCCTCGATATTTATTTTAAGAATAATCTCATTAGGAATATGTTGAGAACAATCAATAATTTTTTTCTTATTTATATGAATATTTAGAACGTTTTTTTTGATCGAAGACTGAGCAGTATGTTTTTTTCGAAATGATACAAAAACTTCATTTTTTGATATAATAATTTTTGCTATGTAAATAGTTTAATTAAAAAAATATTAATGTAGAACAATTTATCATTCTGTCTTTCTTTTTTAATAGAGAATAATAATCGTTAAGTTAATTGTATTTGGTTATTTATTCTTTGATTTGAACATGATATTGACTATGATTGATTTCTGACAACGCTCACATTCTAACAAAAATATATTCAACATAAGAACGTGTTAGATTTTATTATTTGTAAACAAAATGCTAGCGAATTTTTTATAACATAACTTTTTTTTCTTTCATAGATTTTCGACTAAGAATATGACGTGTTTCCATAAATCGCCATCAAAATCGATTCATTTGAGTTTAGTAGCATATCTTTTTTCGTTGATATATAAACTCATTTGGATGAATGGGAGGATGAGATACAACATCATAATAACTTCCAGACCATCGATCAAGAAATGTCCAAAAAGTTGATAAATTCTTTCGACCCAATTGATGATGATAATAATGACCAACTGAACCGTGCCATACATACCGACCAACATAACTCCAATTATGAAACATCCATGGAAAATCATAGCCTGAATGAATATTTGTTGCCACAAAATGAATAAATAAAATAGATATAAGACGAGTTAAAGGATCCATTTGTAGTGGAATCATGGCTCCTAAGAAGAATACTAGTCCAGCAAAAGATTCAAATGCACTAGCATAAAACCCATTCCAAGGATAAGTATATCTTTGACAGCTAGCATGATGTTTTGAATGTGCTTGATGAAAGAACGAAACAACACGTGGATGAAAATGAGTAACATGATGAACTACATGAGTAAATAAATCGAAGATGATGGTATAACCTACTGATTTCCATAGCACTGTCCACCAATTTGGCGCTTCATACACATGTAAATTTGGTTTATACAACAATATATCGTACAATATCAATGGACCAACATGCCATTTAAGCATATTGAAAAGTGATGATTTAATGTAGTACATAATCTCTTGTGATGATGTATGCAAATCTTTACGAATTTTCCATTTTTTTCCAGGCAAATATTCAAGTTCAACAAGAGCATAGATACACATTAAAATTAAACACCATAAAATACGAATCAAATGTTCAGGCAAGAGATGATCCATGTACCAACGTTGTTTCGACAACATGACATGTGCATATTCAAGAAGCGATGATGGTGATGATGATGACGACGACGACATTTCAAAGGTCTATTCTATTCAATATTTAGGACGAAAGAACGTAATGATATCTTATCGTAATGTATAAAGATTACTGTAGAACATGCTTATCAACGGACATATTTTTTGACTAATAGAAAGAAAAATAAAATGAGTAACTTTTATCATACTTTTGTTGAATATTACTTCGAATAGTCAACTAATGATAAAAATCCTGCAAATGATCAAGCGCTTTTAAGTCAAGACTATATCCATCATACACAAAAATTTATCTTTTCTCTTTCAATATGTAGGAGAGATATGTCGTGGATGATTTTTTATTTTCTAGATTATTTCACAAACCTTATTGTCTTTCTCATTAAGAAACGAAATAAAATTACTCGTACGTCTTATTTTCATTTAGATGCACATGAAGTTTCTAATATTTAAAATGAGAGTTACTGGTTTTTTGATTATCATAAGTTTTTTTTTATGTAGGGTGTGAGCTTGTGTGATTGTGAATCATTCCTGTGACTTCTACTGCAAGTGTTTTCATCGTGAAGTGGAGCACGGACACTTACATTCTTCTAATAAAACAATGAAATGATATGAAACAGAGAGAAATTTTGATGTAGTTGTTTTTAATTATATTTTA